TGCCGGACGCAAATTGAGGAGCCCTCCAGGCGCGTGTGGAGGAGTTAGGCTGTGGATTCGACCTTCATTTCTCCTCCAGCCACACCAGCCTCCGGCTGATATTTTGGACTGCAAATCTGCCTTGCAAAGGACAGGATAGCAGAAAGAGTGGGCAACTTTCAGCTGGGGGAAAAGCAGAAATAACAGATTAACAGCTTGCCTTGGGTTTCTATCAGGAGGTCTCAGAGGGGTCTGGCAGCAGACTCGGTTCTGATACAGTACTGAGGGCTAACACTGTCTTGCCATCGAGAGGAGAGGTGCTTCGAAAAGTGGGTTGCATCGGCCCTTGCTAATGGGATTAAAAAGAAAAATCAATCATGGACTGGAATAAAAGTCTTAAGGCAGGGCTGGTTTAGACTAGCAAACTAATGTGATTCACGCAGGGGTTGAGTAAACTATGGTTAAGCAAGGGTAAGTAAACTCTGAACACAGCAATTATATGAGGATGGAGAAAAGTTCCTAACTTCAAACATGCACGCTTGGGTTGGATTCTGTGTCTTTAATTATTTTCAAGGGATAAAATAAGCGGGCAGGTGACATTCAGAATCCAACTGCTGTTCTTTAATACGCTGCAGCTGCTAAAAATGTGGTCTGCCACGATATTAAAAGCTCAAATTGGGGATGAAGAGAAGAAGCATTTATTTTATACAAGGTATAACACTTGGTACTTTTGCAGGGTCCAATCTGGGTCAGTCACCGGAACCAGAAGTTTAGTCTTCCGAGCTTTCATGCTGGAGCTCATCCACAGGAGACGTCTCTCTCTAGCAGAGTGTACTATTATCCTGGAACTCATAGATTTGCCTTCATTCATTGATGCTTCCCCACTTTGGATATGTTGACTTGCAAGACTCTGAGAAAGAAATTTAGATTTTTTTAAAAATCATTACCTGGAAAATATGTCCTTAAAAAGGATGGGTCAAATGTAAGTCTGGATTTAGCCCAAAAAATGATCATTGCACAAAAAAACTTTCTACCCAAGAGAAAAATAAAGAATGAAATGTGCTTATAATCTTTAGTATGACCAGAGTTGAGAGAGTGCATCCAATTNACCACTGCGCCACCACAACTCATGATGATTGTTCCTGGTAATTGGTCAGGTCACGCCAGTGGCCAGAGATCTGATGAACTGCGGCATCTGTGGAGTATAGAAGATACAATTAGGAACAGGATGGTCTTACTACCATAATAATCAGCAACCAAGCCGAAGCGTGGGCGGAAGATGGTAATGTAATATCTGACTGACCTAATGGGCAACTTGGATGTAAAGAGCCGCCAGTTCAGTGACATGATCAGGGCAAAATGGAATAATCTCCCATTTCTCTTTTTTTTTTTTAAAAAAAAAGGATAATAGTAGAAAAATGAGGACAGCTTGACTATAAAGAGGAAGGTCATTCAGCTTCTAGACAATATAAATCGAGGGACATTTACTGCTATTACCTTACTTTAATTCTGCTTCAGTGGAGAAGGAGGAATTGCAGGAGAGACGTTGTCTCCCATTTAATTTTATTCCTGTTGGATCAGGAAAGCTCCAGAAGCTGCCGGATGCATTTCTTCTCAACAAATGCTGCTTCTCTGAATTGCACACACTGATGGTGGCTTTTGCTTGCGTTACGGAGAGCGAATTTGCATCTCCCCGTGTATTAATTGCAGAAGGACAGTGAGAGAAGAAGGGCATGTTTCCATCTCCTACTTGTGACTCCACCAGAAGGTTGGCTGTTGTGAGAAAGAAAAAGACTGAAATGGGTTTCAGCCTGGGAAGGAAGGAAGGAAGGAAGGAAGGAAGGAAGGAAGGAAGGAAGGAAAGTGAGTAGCGGAGGAAAGGAGAGAAATGAGGAAGGAAGGAAAGAGAGTAGAGGAAGGAAGGAGATAAATGAAGAAGGAAGGAGATAAATGAGGATGGAAGGAAGGAAGGAGATAAATGAGGAAGAAAGGAAGGAAAGAGTAGAGGAAGAAAGGAGAGGAAGGAAGGAAGGAAGGAGAGTAGAGGAGGAAAGGAGAGAAATGAGGAAGGAAGGAAAGAAGGAAGGAAGGAAAGAGAGTAGAGGAAGGAAGGAGATAAATGAGGAATAAAGGAAGGAAAGAGAGTAGAGGAAGAAAGGAGAGAAATGAGGAAGGAAGGAGAGGAAGGAAAGTAGGAGAGTACAGGAAGGGAGTAGAAGGAAGGAGAGAAATAAGGAAGGAAGGAAGGAAGGAGAGTAGAGGAGGAAAGGAGAGAAATGAGGAAGGAAGGAAGGAAGGAAGGAGAGTAAAGGAAAGAAGGAGAGAAATGAGGAAGGAAGGAG